CGGAAGTCGTCAAAGCTGGTAAAGAAATACTTACGGTTGGCAGAGGAATGGAGGAAATAGGAATAAATGAGGAAAGAGTAGCTTCATCAAAAACAGGGCCGAGCTCGCCACTCCCGAAACCACTATCAAAAAGATGTTGAATTGACTCATTATTATCTCTTGGTTCGGTGTCCTCGTCAGAATGAATCAAAACAGGCTCGGTGGTGGAGGTTCGAGCAGGAGTGTTTTCAATTTCATCATCAATGATTATTCGCCTCCTGACCCTTGGCCTGGTAATTAGGGAGGTACCCTCCTCTTCTTCTTCAGAACTTTCCTTTATAGCTTTCCTTTTTGGCAGCAAGGCTCGAGCCTTATCCAAATCAAGAGCAGCATTCGCAGACATGCGAATGGCCATAGCTACTTCAGCCGTCATTCCTCTAATGCCAAATCCTGATTAAAGGATGGATATACATGATCAAAGTTGAGGAAAAAATGCTTAACATGTAAAAAAAAAATATAAAAAGGGGGATACCATGTGTTTTGACCTTCCAGCCATGTAAGGAAGAAATTGATTTCCAAGTTCTTTGCTCCCTAGAAGCAATCTTCAAAAGTGAGTCTACCCAACCACGGAAGTTGGGAATAGGTTCCACATCTCCCATGGTTGCTACAAAAAACCAAGAAGAGACGAGGTTAAAAACAAACTTTCTTTTGAAATTCTCAAAAGTAGGTACGGTAAATAAAAGGAAACCTACGTTCAAAATTCCACTTCTCAGGGAAGGGAATATTTGTTTCGCCAATCAAGTCCACCGTACGAACAGCAACGTAACGGATATACCATCCACGATCTTTGTCATCCTCAGGATTTACCAAAACTTTTTTGCTCCTTGCAGTTAAGGTAAAAACCCCATGGCGTATTAAGTTAGGATGGTATAGATGAATGAGGTGAGAAAAGGTGAAATTGACATTGGCCTTGGAGGATAAATATCTCAAACAAGCCACTGTTCTCCACACTAATGGACCGATTTGGGCCAAACAAATTGTAAAGAAACGACAAAAATCGAGAATAACTGGGTCAATCGGAGGATTAAAACCTAAAGTGAAGGGGTAAGTATAAACAGAAGAATACCCACTTCTAAAAGAGGAAATTCTTTGATTTGGGGAAGGAATTGACATTCGGAGACTATCCTTCCAGTTACAATCTTTTCTTATGGTGGGGATTGTAAGCTCGGTTACTATTGTGGGGTAAGTATCGGGTTTTTCCAAATTTGCAACTTGTTTTTGAAGTNTTCCAAGTTCTTTGCTCCCTAGAAGCAATCTTCAAAAGTGAGTCTACCCAACCACGGAAGTTGGTAATGGGTTCCACATCTCCCATGGTTGCTACAAAAAAACAAGAAGAGACGAGGTTAAAAACAAAATTTCTTTTGAAATTCTCAAAAGTAGGTACGGTAAATAAAAGAAACCTACGTTCAAAATTCCATTTCTCAGGGAAGGGAATATTTGTTTCGCCAATCAAGTACATCGTATGAATAGCAACATAACGGATGTACCATCCACGATCTTTGTCATCTTCAGGATTTACCAAAACTTTTTTGCTCCTTGCAGTTAAGGTAAAAACCCCATGGCGTATTAAGTTAGGATGGTATAGATGAATGAGGTGAGAAAAGGTGAAATTGACATTGGCCTTGGAGGATAAATATCTCAAACAAGCCACTGTTCTCCACACTAATGGACCGATTTGGGCCAAACAAATTGTAAAGAAACGACAAAAATCGAGAATAACTGGGTCAATCGGAGGATTAAAACCTAAAGTGAAGGGGTAAGTATAAACAGAAGAATACCCACTTCTAAAAGAGGAAATTCTTTGATTTGGGGAAGGAATTGACATTCGGAGACTATCCTTCCAGTTACAATCTTTTCTTATGGTGGGGATTGTAAGCTCGGTTACTATTGTGGGGTAAGTATCGGCTTTTTCTAAATTTGCAACTTGTTTTTGAAGAGACGTTTTGTCACTTTCAAAAGACAAATCGCTGGGAACTATTTCATCAACTGAGGGTTCTTGAGAAGAATCAAGAATTTCCCTACTTTTAGAAGAAGGGGCCTTTGGGATAGAACTCCTTGAAGAAGAACCAGAGGAGCCGCCTCGAGTAGATTCTAACCCTATTCGAAGCCTACCTCCTCCGCCTCTTCTGTGTCTAACAGGGGTGTTGGGGAATTGATCTAGAATTGGAACTTTTTTACGGTTAGGTTTTGAAGAAGACATTGTTAAGAAGGAAGTGTGTGCTGAAGATTTGTGAAGAAGACAAAGGAAGAAAAAAGTTATGGCTAAAATGGTAACCGTCAACCTTAGAAGTGTAATGATGGAAATCCTATAATAAAGGCAACTATCACTTCGTAAATAGTAAGAATGAAGAAGTCTCGAAAAGGGTGTGAATAGCGGAATCAATTAGAAAATGACACATGTGCATAACATTAAATGGAAAAGACTACTGAGGCGTTAATACTGTCATGAACATTAATTGTGGCAAAAATTCCTTTTTCATGAAGATCCACTTTCCAATTATTTAATTGATAAATAAATGGAAAGTGGGGGGACTATCTGTATTGGGAAAAAATTGAGTTTATATTAAAGATGATGTGACATGACACGTGGATTAATTAAATGGTCAAAGCGCAACAATTGACTAGGAGGCACGGATGGAGACAGCCACGGGAAGAAGAATTTAAATAGGCACGAGACGACGTATAGATACGAGTCTCGTACCAATTTAAATTATTTACAGCCAACGGATTAGAAGGCATTGAAGACAAAGATCTGATGACAGAAAGGAGTCCAAATTCATTATTAAATACTTGATACGTTACAAAATTGGTATTTAATAGGAATGATTGTATAACGGCTTATTTAATGTCATTTATTACTCATAATTATATCATTAAAGCTGAGGCTTCATTCCTTTACCTAGAATTATCTATAAAAGGAAGAAGTATCATCATTTGTAAGGACACGAAATACTATTGAGAATTCATTGAAATACACGACTATTTGCTTTTTTACCATCATTCTCAAAAGTATTTTATTTTGTCTCCTGATTATCAGTAACCCGAATTTCTTTTTAGCTTTGACCAAAGACTCAGATTTTTGGTTAAACACATACCTCAACTGAGCTTTCCTTAATCCTATAACGTTCCGAAATGTTCGCACTTTAATCTATTTAAGCAATATAGCACAATTGAACCCATAATCAGGAAAAGATCATAATCTAAGCTCACTCGAGCATTTTATCAAGCATTGAGTGTTCATTAAGGCCTTATGGTCCTTTTATGCAGGATTACACTTAGCCCATTCCCCATGCTTCTCTATTTATAATTTCCCCATATCTTCTAAGAACACATGCATACAATGCAATCACCCTTATCTCCATGAATTTCCTCACTAATGACCCCTTATAGCTATGTATAAAATTAAGAGCTGAGGTGATGAAGTTTTACCTCCTGGGATGAAGGTTTTGGTGCTCCACTTGATTATCTTCAATGTTTTTAACAAGGATTTGTGGAGCACTTTTTGATGAAAGGCACTTCCCCTCTCTTAGACCCTCCTTCTCACTCTAAAAGCACCAGGAAATAGGCTCAAAATGAGCTACTGCACAGAATATAACAATAGAGGGTCGGATTTAAAATTTAGAAATCTGGAGCCCCGACTCAGATCTGCGATCGCATATGCGATCACAAAGTCGACATGCGAGCCGCAGAATGTCCCGCAAAAATGCTCCCAAAAACCTGAACAATCTGCCTGGGTATGCGATCAGAATGCGGTCCGCATACCTATTCTACGGCCGCAAAATGCACCGCAGAACTGCTCCTCGCAAAAGTTCCAAGGGGATTATGCGACGACTATGCAACCCGCATATCGATTATACGATCGCATATTTGGCCGCATAGTTGACCTCAAAATTAACCTTCACACTGCCTGACTTTGTGGTGACTATGCGGTCCGCATAGCTATTATGCGACCGCAGAATAGCACTTTTCTGGAAAACACTATTCTTTAACTTTTTAATGCACAGATCAATCCAAAGGGTCCGAACCGCGGCGAGTTTATGAATTTCTAACACATGATCTTAACTTGGCACCGCAAGACTCGGGTTTTTGAGTAGAAATTTCTCGGGGCCTTACACCCTTGATTTATAGGCTATATTTTTTTCATGGATTCTGATTTACAACATATTTGAAAATTAGATAACTCTTTAAAAAGTTGCACTGTCCATAATGTGATTAACTTTTGGAATATAGCGTCTATTATTGAATATCACTGTCCATTATTAATGTTGTGTGATTTTCGAATATAACTCTATTTAGCATGTTTCTTAAGGTGTTGGCTTGTTCTTATTATGTTCTCTGTTTCATGTTTCACTTATTCAAGAGTTGCTTAATTCTTGTAGTATTTGTTTTATTCTTGATAAAAGGGATGTGCCTCTTCTATTGATGTTGTGTATGCTTTTTTGATGGACTCTTAAATTTATCGAACCCGTTATTTTGTAAGAAGTTTTTGTTCTTGTGAATTGAGGTGGATGTATTTTCGACGAAGTTTAATTTTTATTGAAAATTTATTTCAGTTTAGTCCATGTATGCGCATGGATGTGCAGGAAAACGTTTTTATTTATTAGAAAGCTTATTTTAAAATTTGTATTTGCAGGTCAATTGGGAAGTCTTAATGAAATTAAAGCGTAAGCTCTTACTTTATTTTTGCCTTTTGCTTAGCAAATTTATATTATATAGTGAATTATGCTGCTTATTTGGTCCAAACGGACTTTGTAAGAAGTGTCTACACAAAGTATAATTAAGCCTCATCATGTAATTATTTTTTTAGAAGAAAGAACAAAAAGAAAATAAAGAACAATTCACCCCGGTATTTATCTCAACACAATAAATATACTTATCTTCAATTATAGTTCTATCGTTAAATTATAATTAATTAATACATAATTTTATCTTAATTTATACTACTTTGTAATGATAAATTAGTATAGCTTAGTGTAAATAGATATTCCTAAGTTTTTATCCAAACGGATTAGCCAGGTTTTTATATTTATTTTTTTTGCTACTTTCTCCCTCACCACCTTCACGAAAATCTCCATAAAATTCAACTCTACACAGAAGAACCCTTTTCATTGCTTCACCATTTTCGAGCGTTGGCGCCAAATTCATCAGCCATTCCCGCTTTCTTCCCCAAATTTCCCTCCAAAATCCTCATATTACTTTTACAACAATAACAACAACAACTCAGTATAATTTCACTAGTGGGATATGGGAAGTGTAATATGTACGCAGACCTTACCTCTATCCCGAGGGGTTTCCAGGAGACACTCGGCTCAAGAAAACGACAAGAGACAATATATTAATACTATCAATAAATTTATAACAAAATAACATAAAATAATATAAGATAAAATAACAGCAATATAAAAAATATAGTAAGCATCGTTTAGATATATTGAAGATACATATCAGTAACCAACCAGTAGCATCAGTAGCCCTCATATTACTTCTATAAAAATAAAACCCTTCAAACCCAGAAGAAAATTCTAAGAGCTTCTGCCAAAAATCACTGAAGAACCACTAGCTAAGGGCGGAACTCTTTATGCACTGAGCGATGTGTAGTTGTGACTTGCGAGCTCCATTTCTACAACTCGACCCTCCATTGATCCACTTGTATATTTTTAAAGATTTGCTGGATCAGCGGAGGGTGGAGGTGTAAAAACGGGTCTCACGCTGAAAATTGCTATGTTAATATCCCAAATTCATTGTTTTCCTGTCAGGTGTGATTTTCTCTTCTCTTTAACTCTTTACTATTATCATTGTTAAGTGCTCTTTTAGGTTCCAAATTACCTTTCATGAATCTTGAAATGCTAAGTTCAACTCAAAATATACAAAGGCTTGAAAATATAATTGATCGAAAGATGTGCACTATCACATTGTTAGTTCTGTTTACACTTTACGGGCATTCCTGTTTGTCATATTAAAATTGTAGTTGTAACTAGCTGCCAAGAACCACTGTTTGTTTCTTCAATTTGCCCTCTTTGGCTCTTTGTTATTTTAGAGAAGTTAACCTTAACTAGCCTTTTCAAAATCCCTTTGTCTGAATAAATTTCCACCATTTCATATATTGGTAGTCTCCTAATGGTGCTGACTGTCGTAAGATCATGAAAGCTCTTCCACAAGGTCCTGTACTGCTGTACATGTTGTATAAATGAAGAAAGTTGCTGGGAACGGACGACCATAACTATCGATAAATATTCTCTCTTTTCCTGTTCATGATTAAAGTTCATTAGCTTCATGCTGATTTTGTCTGTCTCTTTTCTGAATGTATAAGGATCCGGTTGAGATATAATTTATAATTAAAGGTGGAGTGCACCTGACCTTCAATATTGCTAAGCAGTAGCCCAGTACATACGAAATTAATCGCTTGCTTTGAGATCCTATTAATAAATTTTACCTGGTCTTCTGTTGTTTCATAGAAGTTTATTCAGTTATGTTGATATTTGCCAAAACTTAGCGATATGAGCGCAACAACCTCCAAAGTCCAATCCCTCTCTCAAGAAACTTTTAAGTTACAAGTGAAGTTAAAATAGGAGGTAATATAAAGGATGAGTTGGAAGTGTAGGAGAAGTAAGAGTTTATATGTAAGATTGGCATATGAATGTGAAAAAGCGATCAGATTATATCTAATCTATCTGAACATATGCTTATGATTTTCTGTTCATTCAGCCATGATTTGTGAATCTCTTCATTCAGTAGACGATTGCCCTCTTTAAGTATTCAGAGTAAGGTTTGACAGAACACGATATTCTCCTGCAAACAGCCCGTATAATGAAGCAACATTTGGCTAATCCTTGGTGTTGTGGATACATTATAAAAGAAATCCACTGAGAGGAAGCAAGTAATGTTAAATGCCATTGCAAATTGTTGTTTATTCATTCTAATTAAAATTTCCACTGCATAGGAAGTAGAAGAAAATGCGGACAGAGCAGATTTTTATTCCCTACTCCTTATTTTTCAGATACTCAACAAAGCTAGCAATGTAAGAATCATGAAGCTGTCTATCTCCAAATATGGCAGCAGCTTCTCTTGCTCTAGCTCTAAGCTTTTCACCGTCTTCAGAAACCATGGCGTACGTCAATGCCTTGGCTATCTCCTTTCTAGTAAATGACCCGTTTTCTTCCTTTCTCTTTACTTCAATTGCCATTCCTTTTTCCACTAACA